TGTACCGGGTTTCCCCTTAACTGCAGAACGCCCCCTCTACTCGGAGCTAGTGGACACGGACATTACGACACCACCCGTCCCGTACACACACGACTGTCTAACGTGTACACTGCCCGGCCTCGTCCCCCACCCTTCAGGGTGAATCTTCAGTCTGGTTCGGTCTCTTGCTCGCCTTTGTAAAATTCTCTTTCAGAGCATCGTTACACCGACGGGCGCCAAGATGTCCATGTCTGCTGCAGGCGACATGCCGCTCGCGCAACAAATCGAGATGCTTCAGGGTGCGGACGAAGCCATGCAGCTCGCAACCATGCACCAGATTGGGTCGCTTCTCGACGAGGCGCTCACCCCACCCGTCTCTTGCCCTGCACTCTGGGCTGGTGATATGCCCGCTGCCGATTCCTTCCCTAGGCGGCCGGGGATGACGCAGAGGTGTTGTGCGAGGCCTTGCGCGAGGCTGGCCTCATTGAGAGGCTGGTACCCATCCTCTCCCTCGACGGCCAGCTAGGGCTGCAGCAGGCGGCACTGCTTATCCTGGGCAACATGTGCTCTGAGGAGGTGGACGGGCATGCGGCTGCCACCAAGGCCATCTTCAAGTTATCCCACGGGTTTGAGTACCTCCTTCAGTTCCTCTTTTCACCCGACTGGCTCACAGTGATCTACGCGCTTGGCGCAGTGCAAAACACGTGAGCAGCCAGATATCATAGCCACGGCGGCCCTACCCTCTCCCACTCCTCGCGCTGGTGCAGGTGCCGGGATCCCGATTACTGGACTCTCTTGCGGCAGCTGCGAGTGACGAAGAGGCTCGAGGAGCTCGCCCATTCGGAGGACGCGCATGTGCAGCGCTTCGCCCGTGGCACGCTCGAGAACATCGATCACTTCGTCGATGAGGCTGCCGAACGACGTGAGGCAACGCCGCGCTCACTCGACGCACCCTACGCGCCGGTGCACGAGGCGCTCGCACTTGTAGCCACGTCTGCCGGAAGGTGTGGTGGTGAGGCTAGCGGCACGGTGGCAACCGCCGCAGCCGTTGCTCTCGAAACTGTCCGCATCATCCGTGCAGCAGTCAGGCTACAAGCCCGAACTCGCGGCGCTCTTGCTCGGCAGCGGGCCGCGCGGCGCCAGGCAGCGAAGGAGGAGGCTGCCCGCTGGTCAGCAGCCCGGGCGGCAGGGGCAGCGGCCGCAGATGCACGGCACAAGCGGCTACGGCTACTGCTGAGGGAGGTGGCCGAGGAGACGGAGGCACGAAAGGCGGCAGAGGAGGAGGAAGAGGCGCGGAGGGCCGCTGAGGTGGCAGCGCGCGAGGCAGCACGCGAGGCGTCGGCCATGCGCACGCTGGCTCAGGAGGAGGCGATGCGCAGGGCTGCACTCGAGGCGGCGACAGCTGCAGCAGCCAAGGCGGCGGAGGAGGAGGCAAACACTTGTCGCGAGATGCTTCCCGAGGAGTACCAGGTGCCGCCCAGCCAGCCACCACATCCTAGTACGATTGGACTTCCTCGTGCTGACCGCCGCCGCTCCCTGGTTAGGCTGCTCTCCTCGAAGCAACCGCGGCGGCTGAATTGGCAAAACAAGCCATTCAGGACGCGAGCTTTGCTGAGCAAATAGCAGCTGAGGCAGCTTTGGCAGCCGAGGCATCCGAGGCCGCGGCGAAACGGGCGGAGCAAGAGACCGAGGCTGCCAGGGCTGCTGCTGAGCTGCTGGCGAAGGCGGAGGCAGAGGCGGCACACCGCGCTGCTCTTGCGGCGGCGGAGGCGGAGGCGGAGGCGGAGGCGGAAGTCGAGGCAGCTAGGGAGGCGGCAGCCAGGAGAACGCAAGCCGTAACGCGGCGGGCCGAGCTTGGCTTGGAGGCAAGGGCGACTGAAGCAGCCGCGGCACAGTCCGCTGCGGCAAAGGCAAAAGCGGCGCACGAGCGCACTCTGAGGTCCGCACAAGTCAAGCCGAACGCAGCCGCCACCGCCGCCACCGGTCTAACTACCTCCTTCAGCAGGCCAAATATTTCACTGTCCGCTTCCCGTGCGACAACCCCGTTGCCAGTTACACCTGGACTGCCACGACGAATCTTGACTGGCAGCGCCTTTTTGGTCGGCGACAACCATGGTGCCGCTGATGGCGCCTCGGACGAGCCCGCATCGCCGCCCGACGATCCGACAGAGCTAGCCCTTGACTCAGCAATCAAGAATCAAATGGCCGAGGTGGAAGCGGCAATTATGCTTCAGGCACATGCAAGAGGTTTGCAAGGTCGGGATCAGCTGCAGCAACGGCGGCACAAAACGTCGGCTTCTGTTGTGCAGCGGCACTACCGTGGGCACCACGGGCGGCAACTTGCTCGGGCCCATCTGGCCAGGGTGGAGGCGGAGACTCGCGAGAGGGAGTCACGTAGCCACGAGCAGGCGGCAATGCGGGTTCAGGCTGCGCATCGCGGTCGCCATGTCCGGCAGTGCGTCACGGGGACCCGCGGGCGGCAGGCGACGATAGAGTCGCGGCTCTGCGAGGGTGCTGCCAACATGCCTGAGGAGCATGCTGCATTGTGTCCGACGGGAGAGGACGCCACGAGCTTGAGTCCGCAGGAACTAGAGCATGGGCGTGCTGCCGCTCGAATCGCCGCCGGCTCCCGAGGGCTACGCGATCGGAGGCGTTTGCGGCACTATCGGTCCACCTGCCCGCCTCCCGGGCAGTTGCGAGGCGATGTCATGGGCTCGAATGCGGCGGCCGCAGCGGCGGCGTCGGCCGCGCACGAGAGGCAGGAGCGGCAGGCTCTGAGTCGCGTTGCTTGCAGCAAAGACGGCACGCAGGCGGAAGAGAAATTTCCACAGAGAAGAGGGGACGAAGGTCGACTCACTGTCGCGCGCGAGAGAGGGCATGGCTCGACGACGCGGGCCGTGAGATCCACTTTGCCTTCGGTCGCACTGACGAGCTCTAGCTCCGAGCCCGTCTTCTCGTCCGGCCGGTTGAGGCCGCCGGCGGCGGCGGCCAAGCGGGCAACCAATGCGGCGAGACAACCGTCGCTGCCCACGGTGCCGCCGCCTCGGCCTGCCGTGCCGCCGCCGATCCAGCCCGATGGCTTGCTGCGGCTGGCGCTAGCGGAGCAGGTGGCCATTGACGGTGATCTCCTTGCTTCGTGGGACGAGGACGGCGACGGATCTGTCTCGTGCGCCGACTTCCACCGCTCCCTCCCGCCGCTCCTCGCCCAGTGGGGATTGCCGCGCCTCGCCGCGATGGGCGAGGTGATCGACGGTGTGTTCGAAGGCCTTGGTGGCGGCCGTGTTGGCGCCGTGCCAGTCGAGGAGCTGCGGGCACGGTTACTGAGCGAGGTAAGCGACGAGAGGAAGCAGAAGCTCCTGGCTGAGGCTGCAGCGGCGTCAAAACGGCGCGCAAGGGCCAAGGCGTCGCTTGCGGAGGAGAGGCAACACGCAGAGGGAAAGCAACGCGCTAAGGCAGCGCGCGCGCAGAAGGCTGACGCTGCGCGTACTAAGCGACAACGGCAAGCTACGATTGTCGAGGAGGTGACACGACCGACTGCGACCACACGAGCGACGCGCAATCTCCAAGATCGTCCGGTGCGGGAGATAGAGCATAAGCAGCCAGCCACAGTTGAGCCTGGCAAGGCTCAGCGAGGCGCGCTGGAGCCGACGCACACAAAAGCGGCAGCTAACGCGGCAGTCGAGGAGGCAGCGGGTGTCGCACTGACGAGCTCTAGCTCCGAGCCCGTCTTCTCGTCCGGCCGGTTGAGGCCGCCGGCGGCGGCGGCCAAGCGGGCAACCAATGCGGCGAGACAACCGTCGCTGCCCACGGTGCCGCCGCCTCGGCCTGCCGTGCCGCCGCCGACCCAGCCCGATGGCTTGCTGCGGCTGGCGCTAGCGGAGCAGGTGGCCATTGACGGCGATCTCCTTGCTTCGTGGGACGAGGACGGCGACGGATCTGTCTCGTGCGCCGACTTCCACCGCTCCCTCCCGCCGCTCCTCGCCCAGTGGGGATTGCCGCGCCTCGCCGCGATGGGCGAGGTGATCGACGGCGTGTTCGAAGGCCTTGGTGGCGGCCGTGTTGGCGCCGTGCCAGTCGAGGAGCTGCGGGCACGGTTGCAGGACCTGCGGAAAGACGCCAGTCTCCAGGCCGTTGTAATGGGCAGCAGCAAGCCGTCCCTACCTTGCCTTGGCGCCCACCGCGGGCCGACCGCGCAGCAACGCGTGACGTTGTACGCGAAACCAGCGTACAACAGCACCCCCGAGGGCAGCACGACCGAGCTCCAAATGCATCGCGCAGAACGGGACCGGCGACCCCCTCACCGGCGGCCCGCACCCACTGGAGGCGGTGTCGCCGACCGGCGCGGACTCGACCGGCGTGTCGATCCCCTGTCGCGTTTTTTCGATTAGACCTCTTTCTGTCTGGTAGCAACCCCGTGCTTGTGTGCGAGGGAGTACGTGGGAAGATAGGGGAGAGCGGCAAAGCGAACATGTTATGTGCATGCGCATGCAGATGCATATGATTGTGCATGTGCATGTGCGGCATGCACTTGCCAGCATCGCCCCTACGAACACGTGGGGATTTTCTTCTTCATAACAAGGTCTGTGAAAGCGCGATACGAGGTATTTCTTCTCAATCAACAAGGTGGGGCGGGTTTGATTGTGAAAACTGATTGAATTCTTGTTTCATTGCCGGATCCGTATATCCCCGCTAATCGCGCGTCCCCCGCTAACTGCAGTGCGCGTCGGGCTGGTGGTTCGACACCGAGTTTCATGTGCCGTTGCAACTCCGCTCACGATTACGTGGCTGTGCACGATTCCGCCAGCCGAGGACGCTCCTCCGGCATCTGTCTTGGCCTCTCACACCTCGCGACGTTTGCGCTCGGCGCGATCCTGGCGATGCGGTCTCGCGAAGCGCCTCTGCCCGCCCTCTCATCCTTGTCGGGCAGCGCATCCTGCTCCGCCCACCCAGAGTGCGGCGCGGCAGAGGTGCACGGCAACTGCTGCCCGACAGTCGAGGGATCATTCCTACCGTGCTGCGACATGCCGCCACTTGCTTCCGGCTCCGCGCGGTGCGCTGATTTTTCTGGCTGCAGCGGCATCGATGGCGACTGCTGCCCGACCCCCGACGGCATCCTTCTTGGCTGCTGCCTGCATGACACAGCTAGTCCGTCCGAGCCAACAGCATCGGAGCATCCTCGCGCGCTCCGGATCCTCCGCTGGGGCGTCGCTGTGAGCACCCTCTTCAGCGCGAGCGCCACCCTTGAGGTTGACAATGCCGCCTCGCTCATCGAGCGGCTTCCTTTCCGTCTGGTGCGCACCTACTCTGGCGCCGCCTCGTCGTGGGTGGAGCAGATCCTCGCGAGCGAGCAGGTACGAGGCAATGGGGTCCACCCCACTCCGCACCACACCCAGAGAGGCGACAGGTGGTGACAATATGATTCCCACCGGCAGGTGGAGCAGTTGATTGTAGGGACGAGCACCGACCAGGCGCGGCTCATGAGCTCAAGCCAGGCGCACGCGGACCGGCTGCTTGTCGACATACTGCGCCAAGTTGGGAACAACGTGAGCCGTGTTATAGCGATCGCCGTCGGTAACGAGCCGAACGAGGCCGCCTCCGCCGTGTCACCCCCCACCATGCTGCGCGCGATACGGAACTTGCAGGTCGCGATACGGAACTCGCAGGTCGCTGCGCACGTAATGGTCACGACTCCCCTCACTGGCGGCGTCGTCCAGGACTCGTACCCGCCCGAGGCGGCGCGACTCGACGCGCCGTGGGTCGAGGTGCTCCGCGCCGTTGACTTTGTGATGGTCAACTGGTTCCCATACTTCGCTGCGAGAGGAAACCTCGCGCTCCTGCCTGCTGCGCTGGGCGAGGACCCTTCCCTGCCGTGGCGTTACCCGCCGGACGTGGACCGCAGGGCGGTATGGAACGCGGCGCACGCCAACGCGTCCTTCGGTGTGCAGCAGGCTGCGTCGATGCTTGACATGATGCTACATGCGACCAAGTTCGCGCTCGCAAAGGCAGGCATCGAGCCGGGTGCGGGTCGGGTCGTGGTAGGCGAGACGGGGTGGCCCACGAGCGGTTGGGACAGGCTCGCGACAACCAACAACTCGAGGACGTACTACGAGAATCTGCTCTCTGGCCGGATGCTATCGCGATGCCACGACGACGTGGCAGTGGTGCTGTTCGAGCTCATGGACGAGGCGCTGAAGCCAGGCCCGGCGGACGAGCGCTTTTGGGGCCAGTTGGACGGCAGCCTCTCGCCAAAGTGGGAGCTGGGACTTTCGTATCGCCGTGTGAGACACACCGCGCAGCACCAGAGCGTGCCCCAGCACCTGGACGGGGCCAACCCCAATTAAATGTGTTCTTTGTTCACCCTACCCCGCACTCGGCCAAGGCCGCGCTCGCGGCGCTGTCCTTAGCCTCGGTCCACTCGCGCTGGGTGACTGGGTGGGCGAAGCGCCTGCGCGCCTGCTCTGGCAACGCCTCGAGCCAGGCAAGGAAGGGCGCAGACACCGGCGTGCGCCGCGCGCCGGCAAGCGTGGTTGCGCTCACCGGCTCCTCCTCGTCGAAGGCTTGAAAATAAACGAACGAGCGGCGCGCTCGCTGCCCGGCCGGAGTCGGCAACACGCGGTGCGGCGTGGCAGCGAAGTACCCCGCCGAGAGTCGCTCGAGCATGTCGCCCACGAGGACGAAGCAGCAGCGCTCCGCTGAGTGCGGCGCGGAGAGCCAGCCTCCGCCACGCCCTCTCAGCTGCAGCCCTGGCCTGTCTTGGTGCAGCAAGGAGAAGACCTCGTAGTCGGTGTGCGCAGAGACGCCCCAAGTGCCCTCCGACGCACCTTCCAAAGGCGGGTACTCGAGCAGTCGTAGCAGCGAGGTGTTGTCCGACCGCCCCCCGCGGCACCGCCTCGCCAGCATCTCCTCCTCGCCACCAAGCAACGCCTGTCGAACCACCGACGCAAAATGTGAGCAGACTCCGCACCCACATCGCCTGCTCCTCGGCAGCCGCGCGCGCCGCAAACGCGTGCAGCAGCGGCTCACACAGCGAGTCACGCAGCCGCGAACGAAGCTCGGCCGCCGCCGCCAGCAGCGGCGCGAGGCTCGGCTCGGTCGGCCAGGCGTGGTAGGAAAGCGCGAGGGCCCGATCTGACGGCGTTTGATCGGGCAGCCGGGCGTCGACCTGGGTCACCAGCAGAGCGTGATGTCGAGACGTGGATTGGTGCCCGGGGCTGTGTCAGAGAGAATTCCACCTCGTCGGCCGAGAGAGAATCATGAAGGTTGAGCGAGTGCACGCGCTGGGTCGTCGCGGCGTCCGCATCGTACAGCGGCTCGGCGCCAACCGGGAGGTATGTGAAGCCGGCGCAGCCTTGCTCCAGAGCGCGCTCTCGCGTGTATGCCAGTCTCTCGGCCTCAGGCCGCGACAGAAACTGCTTGGCTTCGGCAAACGCATTGTCAATGACGGCGGCCGTCTCCTCATCGATTGGAACCCGAAACCATCCATCTGTGAGGAGCGCAGCGTCGATTTGCCGCAGCAGTGCGCGACGCTCGGGATGGCGCGGCGGCAGGGAGAGAGGTCTCAGCGACAGGATCATGAGATCACGTCAGCTTGCCCATGGAACAGACAGGACCCAGAGGGTTGCAGGCCCACAAGCGGAGGAGCCAGCAGGGTCCTAGCGGACCGACCGCGCAAAAAGAAAGAAAACACTTTGCTCAGGGGGCGCAGTTAAGGGGAAACCCGGTACGCGGGCCAACCCTCGGCGAACCGTGTTTACTTTACGGCCCTCTCCCTGCGAACGCGCACCCCCCAGGGCTAGGGCTCTCTAGCCCGTAACCCGATCCCGATCATCCGGCCGGCTGCTGAGGGAGGGTGTAGAGGATGTAGAGTGTAGAGCGCTGTAGAGCTGTAGAGCTGTAGAGCGCTCTGGAGCGCTGTAGAGCGCTGTAGAGCTGTAGAGCTCAACATCCGCCGCGTGACGAACTGCCTGCGTTGTTCGGCGTGACGAGGGTGGGCGCGCAAAGAGGCCTTGCCGCCATTCGCGTTGCCGCCAAGGGCTGGCCAAGCGTATAAAGAAGCCGTTTGCGTTTCCTTGTTCTCACCCAATTGGCACGCTCAGGGGAGTTAAGAAAGAATAACCCAAGGGGAGTCAGTCCGCTTTTCTCCTTTCCTCGCGCCCTTGTCGTGCCAGTGTGCTGTGAGAGAAGGAGCATGTAAAGAAAGAAAGAAAGAAAACAGACAACCCAAGGGAGGGATGGGAGGACGGCACGCCGCCACCACACAGGGATTTTAAGGAGAGGTGTGTGGTGCGCTAGCCGTCGCCCACCCTAGGGAGTCTGCCTCTTCCTATCTCTCTTCGCAGTCTCTCGCCGCTTCTCGCTGCAACCTTCATGCCACCTCGCGGTCGTCCCACTCTCGTCGTTCTCTCCCTTGTCATTTCCTCCTCTGTCGCGTCGTTCTCTTCTGCCTCGTCCTGCGACGCCGCCGCCTGCCGGTCCCTTGTTCTCGCGGTTTCTTTCGCCTTTCGGCGCAACTCCGTCCTCCTCGCGGCGTATCCTGGCCCCTCGAGTCTATCGAGCTCCCCTCGCGCAAGGACCACAAGGAGCATGTGATCGCCCGATCTACTTTCCAAAATTCTCCTTTCCTCACGGGGGGATCGCCATCACACCTGCCGTCGACGGTGGCCGCAGCAGCCGACGCACGACGGCGGGCCATGACGGCCGTGCTCCTGCTCACGCTCAGTGGCCTCGCGCGGGCCATGAACAGCCGCGCGCTTCTTCCTCGCTGCATGTGCGCAAACCCGCGAGAGCCGTGCGCCTACGATGCTCGTTGCACCACAGCGGAGAGGCCCGCCGGCTGCGCCGCTGGCGGCCAGCAGGGCTGCCGTTTCTGCGGGTTCGGCCTGTACGAAACATGCCCGTCCCTTCCTCCGCCGATGTCACCACCCCGCCTGCCTCCGGTATCGCCACCACCGCCGCGGCTGCCGCCTCCGCCCGCCTCGCCACCCGATATTGGCCTGTGGACCGCGGAGCCTCCACCGCCCTCGCCCTCGCCGCCGCCGCCGGCTCCGCAATCACCACCGTTGTCTGCATGTGCAGCCGACAGCGACTGCAAAGAGAGTGGTACTCCCTCGGTGTCGGGGATTGGCTGCTCAGCCACCACCCTCGGCATCGGTGTCGGAGGTATGCTGAGCTACAGCTGCGTGGACCGTCAATGCAGTGCACGCTGCAGAGGAGCCGGAGCAAGAGCACGCAGCCACCACGTGGGGTCGGTGCTCTTTGCCATCGCACTCCTCTCCTGCTGCTGCGCCGCCGCTGCCCAATACGCTGGCGTCCGGCGTGCAAACGCTGGGCGGGGGGGCGTGTGGCAGAGAGGTGACACCACACACACACACACACACACACACACACACACACACACACACACACACACAACTCACTCACACACTCACTCACTCACTCACTCACTTCATGGCTCCGCACCCTCCAGGCTTCGCCCTCGGAGGCCTGGGTCGCCGGGACAGGTCGCCCGGCGAGCGCGGCCACCAGGCGGCGTTGTGGGCCCGCAGCAGCCTCTACCAGGCTCGCGACACAGTCATCACCGCACAAGCCTACACACACACACACACACACACACACACACACACACACACACACACGCACGCACGCACGCACGCACGCACGCACGCACACACACAGAGCACACACACAGAGCACACACACACACACACACACGCCAAAAACCATGCCAGCGCACGAGATGAGCGTAGGCAGTAGCGCGACCAACCGCTCAGCTACCGCCCTCGACTCTGACTCAGCGCGGGGCAGACACCGGCCACACACCGCGGAACCACGCGCGGTGCTCCTCCAAGGCGAGCGCGCGCATCGCCGGCTTCTCCCGCCTCAGCGGCAGCCTCGGCGGGCGACGGCCCTTTCGCGATCCCGCCGGTGGCGACGTGGAGTGCGCGTGGGCGGGCGACGCGTGCGACGCGTCTTGGCCGGGCGGCGGAGAGGATTGCGGCGGATCGGACGTGCCCGCCGCCTCAAGACGTCTCTCAGCCTCTTGCGGCGACGCGTCTTCAGACCTCTGCTTGTGAACAGGTGTCCGCCGCCACGACCAGCCTCAGCCGCCTGCTGGCGCAGCGGCGCGGCGCGGCGGCGGAGCGTGGGGCGGAGGGAGAGCTTGAGGGAGAGGGCTCGGCCGGTGGGTTTGGGCAGGGGCGCGAGCAGGCCGCCCCTCTGGGCTGCACGACGGGGTGCGCGGCCGACGAAGCCGCCTGTGTCGACGAGACGCCGCTGCAGCAGGTCGAGACCTTTGACGACTCAGTCTCATTCGGCGCGCGGCTCGAGGAGCTGGTGGAGGGCGCCGTGGCGGAGGGGCGGCAAGCGAGGGCGGCGCTCTGACACTGACTGACACAGCACGGCTAGCCAACACTCGGGTGCCCTGACTTCCATGTAGAGTACACCGTCCGCAGTCGGATAGGTAGACACAAGACACACTTAAGTTTCAGCCACAGAACCACTAGCTCTGCGTCTGGTCTCGGTCTGCCCAATTTCCGGCATTATATTTATAAAAGAAGAAACGCTACCCTCGAGCTCGACACTACACACTACGCGGCGCGCGAGTGGCGAGTGCGCTGTGCGGGGGGGGGGGGGGGGCGGTTCCTGCCTATCATAGATCTATACGCTATACTCTTCAACCCCAACCGAAAATATCTGATATCTCTCGCGGCCCTTGGGCTTCGGCTACGCCCCAACGGCTTTAGCCCTGGCCCCTGCGTGAGCTCTGTCACGGCGCTATTATAGCCATAGGGCATAGCTGAGAGTCTCGCACGGTGACGGTGGCGTGACCCGCCCAGTCCCCAGACGCCAGCCCCTCCTATCTACGCCGGAGAAGAGCGATCGCTCTCTCCTCCTCTCATTTCATGGCGGTGGCGGCGGAAGAAACAACGCTCCAACGCTCCAGTCGCTGCCGCTGAGCGCGGAGACTATTGCGTACTCCACATTCTTCACAGAGGCTCTGTGATGTCATTCATGATGTAAAAACTTTGACGGTGAACACAAAGACACAGAGGGAGGGATGGGAGGGAATGCCTCCAACATGCTTGTCGGGCGTTGGCGCGTGCACGCGGAAAGAAGTTTTTTTGTTTTTTTCGGTTGTAAGGCGCCGATCCCCGTCGTCCGCCCCTCGAACACCTAATTATACGTGATCATGAACTTGATGCACACTGAAAGGGACGACCTCGCCTGACAAGCTGACGTTAGCTGATCCACCCGCACGATGCCCCGCGTAGCCGCGTAAATATGCGAGCGAGGGCGGGGAAACGGCTCTTTGTGAAACGCGCGCGCTCCTAGCTGGCCAGCGGGAAGACCTCCAAGGGCACCGTGAAGGGCAAGAGCGAGGGCGGTGCGCCGCGCCCGCCGCGCTTGCCAACGCGTGCCCTCCCCGCCCCCTCCGCCCCCGCCCTCCACACACACCTCGCTCGCTTTCTCTCTCTCTCTCTCGCGCGCTCTCTCTCGCTCTCGCTCTCGCTCTCTCGCTCTTCTCACCCGCCTCACGTGCGCCCGCCTCACGCACGCCATTTCCGCCCCACGTGTGGCGTATTTACAACCCACGCACCTCGCCTCCGACTCTGACTCCGCTGCTAACAGCCTCACGCTCCGCCCTCAGGTGCTTCGGGCGATCCGGATGCCAAGGGAGTGGGGCGCGCGAGCGGAGGCGAATCGAGCTACGCGTACGCGGGAAATGGCGGCTCGTCGACTCTTGCGGTGGCGGTGCTCTTCTCGTGCGGCCACACAGGCGCCGTCAAGGCGACGCCCGGCGTGCTTGCAGGCAGTTCAGCTACGCACTCGAGCACCGATTGCCCCAAGAAGAAGGGCAACTGCAAGGTGACGAAGGCTGTGCCGGTCAAGTACTCGTCGCTCTCGACGAAGCAGCAGCAGGAGTTCGACCGCAATCTCAAGGAGAAAAACGGCTGGGTTCTCCACCCCAACTTCGAGTGAGGAGGTGGAGAGAGCGCGCAGAGTACATCAATCAGCGACTTGCACGTTGGATACACACAGGACTTCTCGAGGCCGTAGAGCCGTAGAGCGTAGTTGGAACACTTAGAGCCGTACCCGAGCGCCGAGGCACGGTCGCAGTAGAGAGCAGTGGCCACTGCGCACTGGCCAGTGCACACCCCTCACCCGCATGCGTGCCGTGTGGTGTGTGCGCGCCCTCGTAGCTCGTTTCGGGTTTCGCGCGGGGTTTTGATAAATATCTTCGTACTCACACGCAGTGGATCGCGTGATGAATGATCATCGTATACTCATGAACGCGCGTTTTGTCTTTTGATGATTGGATGTCTGACTTGACAGCGGGCAGCGGTGTCGCGCTCGCGGTGAGGGCGCGTCCGGGGCGTGGTTGGTCGTTGGGTCGCCACTCCCCTCTCACAGCTGCTGCGCGAGCGGCACCTTTGGGGGGCGCAGCTTTTTGTAGGCGTAGTAGGCGCCTCCCAGCAGTGCGGCGACGCCCGAGGCTGCGCCCGCCGCCATCAGGCCGGAGGAGGCTTGCGCGCTGCGGATGGACTGCAGCTCGGCGTCGGTGACCTGGGCGGAGAGCGAGGGCCTCTCTCAGCGAAGAGAGTGCGGGCGGGCGGCGCTGCGACGGTGGCGGCCGGCCACATTGCCCAGCCGCTTGAAGTTTCGCGAGACGGAGATGCCGTCGGGCAGCATGGTCGCCTACGGCGGCGCGCCGCGGCGGCCTCCTACACGGCCGGGCGGCCAGGCCACCTCGCCCCGCCGGCGCCCCGCGCCTTGCTCCAAAAGGTGGTGCCGTCCTCGGAGAGGCCCTGCTGCGTGCGGTACTGCCACGCGCCGTGCGCGCCCGACATGACGATCCACTGCGTGCCTAAGGGAGGGGGCGGGGCAGAAGGCCGCCTCTCGGCGAGGGGTCGAGAGTCGCGGCCCCTAGAGACCTCGAGACGGCCCGCGGGCGTACCGTCCTCGAGCCATGGGCCGCGCCACGCCTGGCCGGGGTCGAGAGGGGGTCGGGGTGGGAAGGCGGCGGGGGGCAGGGCCGCCTGCAACGGGCCTCGGACGGGCCGTGCGGCTGCGCGAGAGAGCGCGCGCGTGCGCGCGTGCGCGCGTGTGCGAACGGTGTGGCGTTCTGGGTGGCGGCTTGTGGCGGCACTGCGGATGATCACGCCATTCGCCTGGTCGGGGGCGAGCGGGATGGAGGCGACGTACGGCTGCCAGTCGTAGTAGTAGTGCTGCCACTGGTGCGTGTCGACGCCGGGTACGGACGGGAGCCCCCGCATGAAGGCTTCTCCATGCATCTCGCGCCTGCAAGAGGGAGGCGCGAGGCTTCAGCGGCGGCGTCGAGTCGCGGCGGCGGCGGGCCGGCGTGTGGCCCGCTCGCGCGCCAGCTGGGCATGTGCAGCTTCATCTCCGAGCCCACGCCCCAGTTCGTCGCACCCATCGCATTAACGAGCAACCAGCTCACGCCCTGCGCGTACAGGAAGGCGCTCCAGTCGCCGCCCACCTCGGTGCAGAGCCAGTCGGAGCCCTTCCAGAGGCGCTCCCACTCCGCGGGCGGCTGGCTCGTTGGTAGCCTCGCTACCGGAGGCTCGTTCGCCTGGGGTGAGGGCAGGCCGGACCAGGTCGGCCGGAGCTGCGAGGAGTCCTCTCGCCTCTCCCGCTCGCTCAGTCCCTCTCTCTCCCCCTCCCTGTCCCTCTCATCCTCTCTTCGCCTCGTACACATCGACCAGCAGCTCTCCGGTGGCCTTTGTGCGCGGCCACGCGCTCTCCTCAGCCTCCGCGCTAGCCGACGAGCCCGCCGTCGGGTCATTCCACATCTTGCGCGGAGGTGGCGGCGGCGCCTTTTTCAGGTACTCCTCGGCGACCTTATTTACCTCATCGAGCCCATTGAGCGTGGCGTTCTCGGCCGCCGATATCAAGCTCCCAAAGTCGAGGTCTGGCCACCCGACGGCGAGGAAGCCGGCGCAAAGCATCCCAAGGTTGGTGCCGAAATAAAGAAAGCCAATCCTGCTGCTATGAACACACTCCCTTTGTTCTCTTCTCATAAAATCGGAGGGTCGGCCCACGGGGGGACTTCGTGAACTGAAGCGACCCAACGATTTTATGAGTGGCAGCAAAGGGAGTGCTATGAACAGGAGCGAGTTCGCGCTGCGCTAGGCTCAGACGGCGAGTTCGCGCTGCGCTAGGCTCAGTACGGCGAGGAGTTCGCGCTGTGCGCGGCCTGACAGCTGACTGACTCTCTTGCGGGCGGCCTGACTCTCTCTAGAGTCTAGTCTCTTGCGGTGATTTTATCTCTCGACTCTCGGCTGCGTTGCGCTCGGGCGGCCGCTCCAAGCACATTCTCAAGTTGACGGGTCGGCGCCGCGGGCCGCGCGAAGCTGTCGCGCAGGGCTCGGCGCGGGCGCTGTGAGCCTGCAGCAACAGTAAGCGTGTGGTGTGGTGCCGGGCGCTCGAGCATAGCGTAGCGCCTTGGTCATGCTCGCTGCTTAAAGAGAGAGATTTTTAGCAATACCAAACAACTCTAACAGTTTTTGCTTAAGTGATAATGCTACCACCCCTCCCCGCCCTCACTGGTCAGAGCCCAAATCACTGGTGAGAGTCGTGATTTTCTTGTTGGTTCATAAAAATCTCTCTCTCTGGTCAGCGCCATTCGTGGAGGGCTAGGCAGCTCCGGCCTCCGCCCGGGGCTCTCGCCTCTGCCGTGAGGGGGCAACCCTCTGAGGTCAAAGCCCTCTGTGCCGCGCCAAGACAGACCCTCGGCCGGGGACCCTCTGAGGCCAAAATCAGCCAAGAGAGGCCACAGAGGCGGCACAGAGTCAGAGTCAAACCCTCTGTGCCGCCAAGCCTGGGGTCCGACCCGTCCTCACAGAGGGGGGTCTGAGGCTTCAGAGAGTGCACAACCCCCTACTGTTCCGTCTCCAAAACGATAAAAAAAGAAAACCCGGGGGCCTTGGCTCCGCACCGCCCTCACCTCCCCCGTCGCCGCCGCAGCAGCCACGCCGCGAAGCGTCCTCTGATCTCGGCCACCGATCATCGGATGCGCTCTCTTGCCAACTTCCTGCTCATGGTCGGCGTCTGCGTCCCGCCGGCCCTCTACGTGGCTGTGCTCCACCGCCGCTGTCCGGCGGAGACGCCGACGAGCGGTGAGTCCGGGCTCGCACTCGCTCGGCGGTGGCTTGCTGCTCTGCCCGCCGATGCCTCGTCTATGTTTGCACCACCCTCCAGCGTGGCGTGCGATGTCTACGCGTCCCATCCCCGCCTGTGCGTCAACCTAATCTACTTTGTCGTTGTCGACGTCGGCTTCTACCTCATCTACCTCCTCCAGGGCTCAACGTGGCTCATTGACCCGCACTGGCAGCTCATCCCGGTGTGCATCTCGCTCTTCTTCTTCTCACACCCGGACGCCGGCTGGGACGAAGGCGTGCCGCAACACCCGCGCGCATACCTCGTCCTTGGGTTGCTGCTTGTGTGGGCGACGCGGCTGATGCACAACTACCTGCGCCGGGAGGGCTACCAGTTTGGGGATCGGGAGGACTGGCGGTACAATGACATGCGACGCGAGCACGGACGCTGGTTTGTCATCAGCCAGTTCTTCGCCGTCTGCGTCGCGCAGCACTGCATGCTCGTCGGCTTGACGATGCCGCTGCAGCCAGCGATGGCGGCATCGGGCGCCTCCCTCAACCGGTTCGACGCACTGGCCGCGTCCCTCTGCCTCACGGGCATCTGTGTCGGTCTCGTCGCTGACAACCAGCTCTTCGCCTACATGCAGTCGCCCGACAAGCCGCTCCTCCTCGACAGCGGCCTCTGGCGGTTCTCGCGACACCCAAACCACTTTGGAGAGCAGCTTTGGTGGATCGGTATCTTGAGCTCCGCCGTCGCAGCAGCGGGTGGGTGGTCAGGTTTTGTGGCCGGCGGCCCTCATTGCTGGGCTGTGGCCTTTGGCGTGTGCTTCAACCACCCGATCGACACGCTGGCCACGCTGCCGCTCATCGAGGCACGCATGCTGCGCCGCCCCGAGCGCGCAACTCTCTACCGTGCATACCAGAGGCGCACGCCGCTCCTGGCGCCGTGGTTTGTGCGCGGCGGTGGGAAGGATGCCAAGGTGGCGTGAACTGATGTGAGTGATACAATGTTCAACGTGTGCGGAGAAACGTCGTGTGTGATCCTTCCGACCTTTTGTTGAAGAATGACGCCAGACACACCCGACCAGCGCGCTGTGTGCCAGGGGGTGTGGAGGTGTGTGTGTGTCTCAAGTGAGCGCGCGAAGCGGTCTCCTTTACGTAAAAGCTCGGCGGACCCTCTCACATACACAATGGCCTCAGCTCACACAGCTCACAGCTCACAGCTCATGATGAGAGACGAGATGTCCGTGCAACAAAGAGCTGCAGCGCCATTTAAAAGGCCGCCGTGGCAATCCTCGTCGCCACGCGACTGAGCTTCTTGTGCACCTCGTGCTGGTGCAGCTGGTCTATCTCCGCAGGAACAGACCCGCCGGCGTGTGCCTGCGTGTTGCGTGAGGAAGTGGTTAGGGCGAGGACTACGAGCGGAAGAGAAGAGGGGATGGGCTGGGCGCGCCGCCACCTTGTTGGCTACGGCCGAGAGGTAGACCCCCCACACAGCGGCAGCGAGGCTCCCGATAGGAGCTCGCCACTCAAGCGGCACAAAACGGAAGCGAAGTAAATTGACAGGCCCCCAAAATAGCATCCCCGACGACCACGACTGGCCTACCTCTTCCCGGGTGCTCCTCGCCGCGTCCTCGACGCTCGAGCCGCGGTAGACACCGATCCCGAAGAGCGTGGCGCCAATGGGGAGCGGCATGATGGCGCAGTCGAGAGCTACCTGCGGTGGCCGTTCGCGTCGCTGACAGGAGCGCGGGCGTCGGTCGTCAGCCACGGAGCTGTGCCAGCACCTTTCCCAGCACGGCGCTAACTGAATTCCCGGGCAAGGTCCGCTCGAGCCCGACGAGGCACATATGCACGACCGGAGCGGTTGCGGTGAAGCCAGCGGCGCCGACAGCGGCGGAGCGGCCGGCGTCGAATGAGGTTGCACCCTCAAGTGATTGGCAGATCAGGTCACCGAGGGTCATCTCGACGCCGACGAAGCAAGAGGTCCGCAGCATTGCGCGAGGAGTCAGCATCGCTGATCGGACGCCGAGAGTTGGCCAGTCGTGCGTCCCCCGCCGACGGCCGGGTTCCCGGGTGCTTGAGCACTTGAGCACTGGATAGGGTCGATTCCGCATGGTACGGGACCCCTCGATCGTCTCGCCCTCCCTCACTGGTGTGTTCATCGGGGGGGGGTCATAACAAACACGGTACAGGATCGAGGTGCACGCTGCCAGAGCAGTATCGTCCCCCCTCTCCCCGACGGCGATGGCGGTGTGACCGATCGAGCTACAAAACTTGTTCAGCAGGATCCGGGATAGTCAGATGCACTACCTCACTGGGCCTGAGATCACCGTACGACAGCATCCCGTCACCGTCTCGGATTTATGTGGGGTCGAACCACTCCGGGATGGGCAAGCCCATCAATTTTCGTTTCGTATCTCCGGGTGCTTTATTACTACCCGACAGCGATCATTTACGACTCGCGCGCGCTCATTGTTGTTTTCAGTGTATGTAGCTCTTACGAACATACCCGAGGGTGAACTGCTGACAGGGTTTGCGATGAGGAGCGATCCGAACGTGGCATTCGGGTGATTTTGATTCAAAACTCAGCTCTTTTCTTTTGCGAGTGTGCCGGTGTGTCCAGTCCGCGCCAGTCCACGCGTTGTCGTGCAAGTGTGAACTTCGTCGCCGCCTTCCTCGCCGTCTGGCCATCGCTACGTGACAGGCCGGCCTACCAGGGCCACGCCCTCGCTGGCGGCGGCGCACCGCCCCTCGTGCAACCACCTCTGCTCGTCTACTTCAACAAATACTACAATTCCATCCGCGACCGCTGCATCAAGCTCTGGGGCGTCTACCGCGCCCGGGCCAAGCATGTCGACTTTGGGATGGTCAACAACTACAACCTTGGGTACTACGTCCGTCCCTCCGGCCTCCCGCTCGTTAGCAAGATGCCGCCCGTCTCCGACCTCTACTCTGAGCAGAGCACTTCTCCAGTCCCTAAACAGGGCACGCTCGCTCAGATTGCGTCGCACGAGCGGTGGCTTCGCTGCCTCGCCGCCTGCGAGCGGCTGGATGCTGAGATGGACGACCCGAACGGCGTCAAACATCGGGAGGCGACACGCTTCATCGCCGTCTCTCAGTTCGCCTCGGGAGCGTGGCTCGACCTCTGCCCCGACGGCCGGCACTCCTCCAAAATCACCTCGGAGGTTTTTGCCACGGCGACAGCGCCGCCACGGCTACTACATTTCCAGCGCCAAGTACGTGTACGACGCCAAGGAGGCGGCTGGTGAGACAGTCACCATCGGTATGCGGAAGGGCGACCAGCTTGCAAACGGATCGAAGGACATTCCGTGCGAGCACAACATTCGTCACAACGGCACCATGTATGCGGCGGCCAACATGGTCCGTGCACGAGCCTGCGGCAAGCTCGTGCTCGGTGACAAGGCGAACCCTCAGACGACTTTTCATCTCAATGAGGGGCACGTCACCGACATGTGTGAGATCGGCGGGGACCTGCAGTCCCAGCGTGGTGTCCACTACGAAGTCAAGGTGCCAGCGCCCTCACAAAGACGAGGCAGGCTGGGCAGGGCTCGGCGGCACACGGCGGATGCTGTGCGTCACTGGGCCACAAATTTGGTTTCGGCGGCACCCTCGACCAAACCTTGCTCAAGGTTCTTGGGTGCAAAGAGCGCGGCCACAAGTCACAGGGCCCGCTCGTCCATGCGACCGGCAAAGGCTGGGTCAAAGAGCACAAGGGACAGTACTACGACGCGCTCCATGTCAAGAACGGAATCGTCAAAATTTGTCTCGTCGAAAGCCAGGGCGGCATCGCGCCGCCGACCAAGAGAATCATCTTCAACTTCGCCAAAAGAGGTGGGAAGCCCGAGCGCCGTCGACCGCACCGACTACGGCACAGCCTCCGGCAGCGCCCGGGGCTTCGCCCAGCACCACTCGCAACAGCTCTCGCGCGCCGCCGTCTGTGGCGACGCGCAAAACATCAACAACGCCGCTCGCAACATGCGTGTCGCGCACTCATTCATGACCGGTCTCAATGTCCCACCCCCCTGCGCGCGAGGACGCAGAGGAGCAGGCGTTCTTCGACCGCGTCACGGACTTCCAGAAGCGCAATTTTAAGTTCGTCCAGGTCGCTGCCGCAGCGGTCGGCGAGACCAATGGCGACATGCCCATGCCCGACTGGCCGGCTCCGGACGGAGGCTGGGAGGCCGAGGTCGTGCGGATGCTCGAGCAAGGCTACTACCCCAACGGGCTCGTCGAATTCCAGTCGGACAAGTTTTCGCCACTCCACCACGCCGTCGTTTGCAACCACCAGTCCATGTGCGAGATCCTTCTCGCCCATGGCGCTGACGTCAACCTGAGCAGCTCGTTCGGCGACTACGATCAGACACCGCTCCACGACGTGCAGAACGAGGCGATCTGCAAGCTCCTGCTTGACGCTGGCGCAATCGTCAACGCTCTCGGCGCGAGCGGCGACAGCACCTTGATGACGGCTGCGGCCCGAGGCGACACGAAAGTTGTGCGCATGCTGCTCGCGGCCGGCGCTGACCCGACCATCTACGACACGACTGGCACCGCCGCAGTGGCAGCGCACCGCTCTGGGCACCTCAGCCTGGCGAAGGAGCTCACCGCCGCCGAGCGCTCGCACCCGAAGAAGTGGGTGGAACCGGCGTCGGCGGAGCCTGGTCCGGGAGACCCTGGCTACACCGAGCACATGGTGAAGCAGATCACCGAGAACCGAGCGCGCCTCGATCGCCGCATCAAGGAGTACCCTCCGCCTTCGGCCGCCTAAGAACCAGGGCCACTTGCGCTCCGGCAGCATAGCCAGACAGAACAGAGAACACGCGAGCGCGCGACATGGCGCGTGATCGCCTCTCCCCGCGCTCGGACCACCCGCCGCTCCCCCGGCGGCCGGCGCGGACCCCGAGTACCCTCTCTCTGTGCGTGGCGCTCAACCTTGTATAATGAGAGGGGTGGTGCGGTCGTGTCGGCCGCCCTCACAAAGTCAACAGAGTGCCGGCGAGATTGGGGGCGCCTCGTCGGGCTCGGGGGGTCGGGGGGTCGGGTCCGGGTGCGGGGTGGCGTGGCGGGTGGCGCTGGCGGCCGCTGCCGCAGCGCCGCTGGCGCTGGCGCGCGGCGCGGCGGCCTGTGGCGCTGTGGCGGGTGGGGGGGGGGGGGGGGTCGAGACACTGACTAGTCAGGGACGCGATCGGCCCGGAGGGCCGGGTGCGCAGGTTCCAGGTAGAGAGGTAGGGCTGGCGTGTGGGGCCTCAGGTAAAGGTAAACCTGTCTCAGACCGCCGGAGGTAAACGGAGCCCACGTGAGGGGAGGTAAACGTACGACCGTGGCCCCGCGAGGGCTCGCGAGGTGGGACGACGCAAGGCCCCGCGAGAGCGCTTCGCCTGCGGCGCGCCTGCCCGGCCATGGACCAGGCTTCACCGCCGCTTGCTGACGGCTGATCGCATCGCCTACCGCATCGCGAATGACCAGTGCCGCGACCTCTTGGACCTTGCACTGTCTGCCTGCTGACCCGGTGCAAAGAATCTGCGTCTCAGCTCTTCGGCGCATTGATTGTGCATGATTGCTCAAGTGGCTCGAATTGGCAATCCACCGCAATGCGAACTTGCAACATGAATGGAGAGCATATGCAACACGGACGCAGGCTTGCCGTTGGCGACGTCGGTTATCAGAGGGGTCAGGTCATAGTGACGCGCTCGATGGGATGCTGCATTGATGCAGACAGCAAAAGCATCGCAGCGGAGACCTTCTCATGAGTGGCGGCTCGCACCATGCGGCAGTGCGAAACCAGGTGCGCGAATTTAAGAGCCATTTTCGATTCCGTGGTTTTGGCACTGTCTACCAACTTTGGTACAAATCGACTTGCGGTCTGGGCACAGCTGAGCCCGGCGCTGCCTCCATTCTGAAAGTGTAGAAGGGAAGGCAGCATGTCAGGCTGCGAACTCTGCTGTGCGCCGAAAAGCGGTATGGCGCCGAGGAGGCCATTTTCCTATTAGAAAAGGCTGTCGACATCCAAAATTTTCCTCGCTGCGCGCCCAATCATGGTGGGCACGCAGCGCGGGGCGCCTGCGGCGCCCATTTTATTTTGAAATGTCTGCCACTCACCTAAGCGGCTCTCAGAAACACTCGTGCGGCTGGGCATTTTATTTTCTCGGAGAGTGAATCGCAGATTATGTTGTATCGAGATTGCAATATCTCGAGATCACTGCTCACTCGCCTCTCTCGCGCGCGAGAGAGATCCTCTCGAGGCGAGATCACGCACAGGTAAATCACGGCTACGTCGCTCAGAGGTAGAGGTAAAGGGGCTAGTTCCAATTCACTCTGACACGCTAATCTTGAAAACGTCCAACGGAGCTCCGTGTTGCTCCCAGCGCCCTCCCCCGCGCTCCCTGCGGCCATGGCCGATGATGCTAGTATGAGAGGTCATCTGGCTACCGCGAGAGCGACCCAACTCGTCGACATCGTCCGATGATGGTGCCGCAAAGTCAGCCTTCGGAGGCTATCGTGGGGTCGAGCCGGCAGTAGCCGTGACATGTGGTTCCACCACCCTCGCAGGCTTTGCCTCTGACCGCCACCGTTCCCAGGCTACCTTATGGGATGGAAAGGAAGGCTGGGCGAGCATATAGAAGCGTGCTCGACCTCGTCGTGGCAACCTGTACGGCAGCGCTGGTAGGCGCGATGAGCGTCGTGCCACCTGACCCGAGACGGGTCGCAGGCGTCGTACCGAGCGCGTCAAGTCCGTGTACTGATGTGCTCTGTACGGGCGAGTCACGTCGGCGTCAAAGGAGCGACGTGCGACCTGTCAGAGCTTGATCTCCGATCTCAGCGGCGTCGAGTCGTCTCCGGCGGCGACAATTCGGTACCTCCCCAGGACGCGCAGAGGCAGCTGCGACCCCCCCGAATTGGACGGGGCCTTCCCCGCCACTTGTCTGTGCCCCCCGTCCACTCGGCGGGGTCACAGCTGCCTCTGGAAGGCACCGAGAGGTACCAAATGGCGCAAATGACCAAAATCAAGATTGTGTAACGCGGGCTGTGCCACTGTGAAATGGAACTAGCCAGGGCCCACGGCTGCCCAGAAGTAAAGCTAAAGCGTACGGCTCTAAAGGTAAGAGGGCCGCAGGACCCTCAGTGATCAGAGGTAGAGCTAGAGGTAACCTAGACCCCTCCTACCCGGCCCCCTCCGGGCTGAACACGCGCGAGACGACGGTGCAGCGGAGAAATCAGAAAATATCTTTACGCACACATTGTGGACCATGGTGTGTACATGGCGACAACCCGTTACCGCCCGTTTTCTATTTCCTTTTAGCGTCAACGTCCTCGCGCGTCGCGACTTCTGGCCCCCCGGCGGGCCGCCCTCTGGGCTCTCCTCGGCTCAAGTGGTCACAGTGCTCAGTCCGCCTTCTTGGCCCTCGATAGCGTCGACATCGCGGGGCTGGCCGCCAGCCCCTTGTCCTTGGCCGCCGGGGCCTCGCCCTTGCCCGCCGCGCCGCCCCGCGCCCAGAGAGATGCGAGGGCGGCGGCGGCGAGCAGCTGCGCCGCCGCCGCGCAACGGAGCGCGCCCGTGTCGCCGAGCCGGTCGCGTGCGAGGGCGACCGCGATGACGAGCAGGTTGAGCGGGACGCGGCTGCGGACGAGGGGGCGGGCGGGGCTTGAGGTGCGCCGCAGAGGGAGGGGGTGAGGGAGGGAGGGAGGGAGTGGGCACGTCAATGCCATGATGGCTCCGCGCTGCGCCCCGGGCAAGTACGCGGCGCGCAGTCCGCCGACGGCAGGGAAGTAGACGCCCACCGCCGCCTGCGGAGGGCGAGAGGGGTGGGCGGCCTGGGCGGGGACGAGGCGCGGCGCGTGGGTCGGGTCGGGTCGGGTTGGCATCAGGTGCGGGCCTCGAAGGCGGCGAAGCAGAAGACCAGGTAGAGCGGCTTGTGCGACATGCTGAGCGCGCGCTGCAGCATGGTCGCCGCGGGGGGGGAGGAGGCGAGGTAGAGGGCTCCCGCCGCTCCGAGAAGCACGGGCAGCAGGAAGGCCTCAGCCCGCAGCCCCTTTGCGGAGCAGAGCGAGAAGGTCGCCGAGCCGACGGCGCACGCGGCCATGAAGCAAGAGAAGACCTTTCCAAAGGGGAGTCCTTCCCGCGCAGCGGCGGGGGCGGCGGCGACGATGGCGGGGGCAAAGACGAGGACGAAGATGTACATGGACGCCTCGAACAGCACCTGCACCGCCATCAGCGAGAGCAGGTCCGGCCGCCGCAACAGGATGGAAGCGCCCTCGCGCAGGCCGCCGCCGCCGCCGCCGCCGCCCTTGCCGCCGCGGTTCTCGCGCCACGTGGCGGACGCGATGGCGGCGCCGGCGGCGAGGAGGGGGAGCGAGGCGAGGAAGGGCGCCTGCGCGGGGCCACGCGCGTCACCCGGTCCGGCGGGTGGGCGTGGGTCCAAGGGTCTCGAGGCGTGGCGCTGCAGGGGCGGCGCAGGGGCGGCGCAGGGGCGGCGCAGGGGCGGCGCAGGGGCGGCGCAGGGGCGGCGCAGGGGCGGCGCAGGGGCGGGCGGCGCAGGGGCGGCGCAGGGGCGGCGCAGGGGCGGCGCAGGGGCGGCGAGTTGCCTGAGGCCCGCCCGCAGAGGCGGCGCGAGATGCCACTTGTCCAGAGGCGATGGCGACGAGCGAGTCGCCGAAGTAGGCCCAGCCAAAGATGCCGCCGAGGGAGGCGGCGGGGAGCGACAGCCTCGCGTGCTCGGCGCACAGCCAGGCCTACTCTCGCCCCGACGCAAAGCAAATCTCCCCTGGCTGGTGCGGACCCCAGGAGGCAGTGAGCCGAGGAGGACGCCTCGGGCGCCGCCGCGAGCAGCGACGTGCCGATCCCGCCCACAACCCGGCCCGCCAGCAGCAGCTCCGGCCGCTCACACACCACCGACGCCGCGGCGGCGCCTGCGGCGGCCGCGTACAGCACACACCCCGCCCTGCGGCCGCGAGAGTCGACGAGGGAGCCCGCGGCGGTGCCGACAAGGGTGGCGGCGACGAACCCGGCGAGAAATAGGCGCGACACCTGCGGGTGCGAGGTTCGCACGCAGTTGGCGATGCGGTCGAGAGGGGGCGGCAGAGAGTAGCAGGAGTTGCGGTCTGGCGGTGGGCGGCGGTGGGAAGGAGGCGTCAGGACGGGCAGAGACGGACGTCGGTATCGGAGAAGGGCTCGCCGGTCGCCACGTGCCGCTTCGAGGCGTACACCTCGTGGAAGTACGGGCCCTGCATCCAGTCGGCCGCCTTGAAGAGGAGCCAAGCCGGCAGGTACTGCCACTGCAGCCGGCGGAGAGCTTCAGCCGTGTCGGAGGGGGCAGCCGAGCCGTCGGCCACAGCGGCGGCCTCACGCGACGCGGTGGCGCGGCGTAGGAGTGTGAGCACGAGCCACGCGCCGCCGAGCGCGGCGAGGAGCTTGTCCAGATCGGCAGCCAGATCGGCCGCCATATACACATCTTGCTCGACAAAAGAAACTGGCGCGACTAGCACGCTATTGGCATCACCAACGCACGGGCAGAGGAACGAGAGAAGAATATAGAGTGGATAAAGCGCCTGTTCACGGCATGGAGGGTAAGCCACGCCGAACGCAAGGAAGCCGGGGAAGACGACCCCGAGGAGGACGAAACACCAGAGAGAGAGATTTTTAGCAATACCAAACAACTCTAACACTCACACGTATGTTTGTAACACCAGTGGAAATCCCGCCGTCGGCTGTCACGATATATCCGAAGGGAACCCCAGTGCCAACACCGACAGTTGAGGTACAAGTGCTCGAAACGAGAGTGGACCTGAGCAACGACATGACAGGGCGGGATATGCTCGCAGTGGGAGTCAGAAATGTGGTCCTTGCGCGAGGAGAGCTCGATAAACTCGAGGGACCAAAATACGCGGAGAGGAGAGCGGAGTTACGCAGAAAGGCGAGAGAAGCAGCGAGAGCAAGGCAGACGGCAGCGGCGTCTCAGAACGAGGCCGAGGAGAGCGATGAGTCAGGGGAAGAGACAGCAGGAGAGAGAACGACGAGAGTGGGAAGAACGCGAGGTGGCATGAAGGTCGCTGCGAGAATTGGTGAGAAACTGCGGAGAGAGATAGGAAGTGGTAGACGCCCGAGGGTGGGCGACGGCTAGCACCACACTCCTCTCCTTAAAATCCCTGTGTGGTGGCGGCGTGCCGTCCTCCCATCCCTCCCTTGTGGTGCCTGTTTTCTTTCTTTCTTTCGCTATTGGCATGCCGACGGCTAAGGCCGAAATCGTTATTGTTCACACCTCTTGCAGGTGTGAACACAAACACTGGATTAGCTGTGTGTATCTACTCAGCTGCTCCGCTTATACTTACCTCTGTGAATGAAGCGCGAACAGCATCACGATTTGAACAGCGTTCCTTTGAACGATATCGGTGTTTACCGCTCTGAGAATAGCGCTCACTTGAGCACTTGAGCAACTGCCACTGGATAGGGATTAGGGATAGGGTCGGATTCCGCATGGTACGGGACCCCTCGATCGTCTCGCCCTCCCTCACTGGGCTCTGGGTCTGGGGTGGTCATTGGGAGGGGTCATAACACACACGGTACAGGATCGAGGTGCACGCTGCTGAAGCAGCGGCCAGCGCTCACTCAACAGCTACGCAAAAAGTCTCTTGAGCACTTGAGCACTGGAGAGGGTCGATTCATCCGCATGCGGCATGGTACGGGACCCCTCGATCGAAAAGTCTCTCTTTATCTCAGCTGTCCGTTCTCCGCGACTCTCGTGTGTGTGGTCTTGGGTCCGGGGTTGTGTGTGTGTGTGTGTACTCAGGTAGGTTGTTGCACTTCGCGCATATCTTGGAGCACTTTGCTTGGAACTGCCCTATTACTATCCTTCAACAGTACATAACTCTCATTCATAAGACAAATCGTCCGAATCTTTTGTTTGCATGAAGCCTGTAACCTGCTTCTTTCGGCCCGACTCTGCAGAGAGAGTTGACGAACGTATTACCCCTCTTAGTTTTGCCTGCCGGCGTGCTTACTAATATAATAACTCGGCAGATACTCGAGTAATCGTACGTCCATGCAACGATTGAGACAGCTGGTAATAGCTCTTGAAACGGGCCCATGCCTCGCAGCTTGCTCGCGCTCGCAGTCTCGCTCGCGGCGCGCCGGACCATCGGGAGCACCCTCTGTAGCGACCACCACACATCGTGCGCGCACTGGGCAAACGGCGGAGATTGCTGGGGCGAGAACGCCACCACCGTCATCAAAACGTGCCCGGCGTCCTGCGGGATCTGCCGGCCGGGATGCGAAGACTCACATCCAGAGTGCAGACACTGGGCCCAGGATGGAGAGTGCTACTCCAACTCTGGCCCGGTGCGCCTCCTCCTCCCCAGAGTGCACTTCGTCACCCTCACTCCGGTACACTCTTACAAAACAGATGCACGAAGTCTGCCCTCTCTCGTGCGGCCTCTGCACGACTCCGTGCAAGGACCTCTCCCCAGCTTGCGACCGCTGGGCGATGAGCGGGCGCCTCGTTTCGCCCTCCTCGCATTCGCTCGACCCAAAGAAACTTCGGGAATTGTTCAAGCCGTAGGCGTTGCCAGCAGTCGCACGGTCCAGACCGAACTTTTATGCTGCGTGTCTGCCCTCTTGCCTGCGGCGTGTGCTCCTCCTTGTGCTCGGACACGCACTCCGACTGTGGGCAGTGGGCCCTGCAAGACGCGTGCACTCTGAATTCAGGGTACATGATGAAAGGTCATGTGTCCTATGAGAAGGGAGTGGGGTGAGGTGTGCAAACGGCGTCCGATACCCCCCCCCCCCCTCCCCCCCCTCCCCTCCCCAGCCTGCCCGCACTCCTGCGGCTCTTGCCGTCGCGATGAGGAATGCCGCGATCTCGATGAGGAGAGGTGCAAGAAGTGGGGCAAGGAGAGGTGCGAGGCGAATCCAAGTGAAATGCTCAGGTCTGTGCAGTACAGTCTCTCCTCTCCTCTCTCCCTCCCCATCACGAAGCCGTGCCGGATCAAGTCTAGGAGCTGTCCAGCAACGTGTGGCGCCTGCACCGTCGCATGCGCCGACCGCTCTCCAGCTTGCCACTCCTGGTCGGCCGACGGCGAATGCGAGTACAATCCGGTCCGGATGGTGACTCGCTGCCCTCGTCTCTCCGCCCGACTCCCACCCCACCGCCCGCCCCACTGCCCCTGACCCCTTCCCGCAATGTTGCCAGGCGCTGGACTGCCCCGCCACTTGCGGCATCTGTTCCGACCTGCGCGACAGCCTGGTGTGATGAGAGACTGATCTCCTCGCCGCCGCGCCAGTTCCACGACCGCATACGGGGGGAGCGCGGAACACGAACAGTCTCGCTGCTCTCTCGTGTAGTCGTGAATCCGTAAAGTTGTCATGTAGCCAGAGCCATATGACGTTGCGGGCTCGCCCGTTGTGATGCCAGACGACTGTGGACTACTGTCTACTTCCTCTCCGTCACACTTCCCAAAAAGACGACTCTCCCCCCCCACAATCATGCTGACATACCTTGCTCCCCCCCCGGCACACAAGATGTCCAGTGTCACACCCTCCAGTGTGGACTGGGACTCTTGGACTGCTCACTCTAATGCGCCTCGCTGCGAACAGACACCTCGCTGATGACCCCCACGACGCTCACTCCTCTCCCTCCTCATACTTCCCCCCGAAAACTTGGTTTGTGTGGGCGGAAACCGATCGAACTCCACACCCGCGTCGTGCCAGTGACATGAGCACTTGAGCAATGGATAGGGTCGATTCCACACATGGTACGAGACCCCATGGAACACCGTCACCCCCGCCCTATAAAGCCGTAGGCTTAAGCCAAAAAGCTATTAAGGCATGTGCCAGTGACAGAGCAGTGAGTGTGTGAGAGAGGAAGGTTTGTTCTGCTCCTCACAGCAACAACACAAACTCCTCTCTCTTTAGTCTATAGATCTCACGTTGAGGTCAGTCTCCTGGGACCTGCACGACCCAGAGAGCGCCTTGCACGACCGCCACCGCGCTGAGGGCGATCGCAATGCCGATAAGCATCTTACGGCGCACAAAGACCTCGGCGAGCAGCAGAAAAGCGTAGCGCTGGAAGAGGCCGAGGAGCGACGGCAAGTGCTGCACCGATTGCGCATCGCCCTTGCCAACCGCTGAGTTGACCACCGAGAGCATCAACAGGAGCGCCGACGAGGCGCCGCACGCCAGCGCAGGGCCGATGCGTCCGCCGGCGCAGTTACAGCCGAAGGAGAGCCACGCGTTGAGACTCACGGTGCTGACGAATCCGAGCAGCCCGAACAGAAAGTGCGAGTTCACTCCCGTCCACGCGAGCGCGTACTCTCCCCGCAACAGCAGCTCCTTGAGGCTGTGCGTGTGCGGCACAGCCGCCTCCAAGAGCACGTTCCTGGCGATGGTTGCGTACCTGCAGTCACAGAGCAGGATGAGCTCTGCAGAGTCGAGTGACATGCCTGTTGTGAGCCGAGCGGCTGTGAGATTAGGCACGCACATTATCGCGGTGAGCTCCGACACAAGCGACGTCCACGCAACCAGCATGTGAAGCCGCTTCAGGCGCGCGGTGTTCGGCGAGTCCGAGGATTGTGGCTTTGGTCCGGCAAAGCTCGCGAGCGGCACGAGGCCGCCTGTGAGGAGTGCCGCCGTGCCCTGCATGTTGCCAAAGAGCGCAGCCGCGTCGGCAGCATGCGACGCGAGCGCGAGCTCTGGGGCAGCACGCGGCGTCGCCGCAACGTGCAGCAGTGCAGGGAGGGCGGAATGGATCATTGCGAGTAGTGAGTTTGAACAAAGAGACGAGATGTTTTCCGAATCAAGATTGAGAGCGCGAAGATCCTGTGTGGTGGGCGGCGCCACAGTGCCGTGCCGTCCTGGCGGGCCGTGGCGGCCGGGTTTCCTTTTCTTTCTCTTTCTTCCTCCTTCGGGTATTTTCGTGCTGAGCTACGTACGGCACGCCCGCCGCCGGCGCGCGTTACCCCTCAGTTGAGCTTGGCCCAATGCCTGCGGATGTAGCCAAGGCCGGCTTGCATGACTCCCTCCCCGACGGTCGGGTACGGGTGAATGACCCTCGCAACCGCGCCCAGCCCCACCCCAGCCTGCATGGCGAGGGTCACCTCGTTGATGATGTTGCCCGCGCCGGCGGCGACGACGGTCGCGCCGACGATGGTGTCGGTGTCCTTGGAGCAGTGGATCTCGACGATGCCGCCTCCGGCCGCCTGCCCCTCGAGGATGAAGCGGTCGTTGTGCTCGAGCGACGAGGAGTACGTGTCGACCGCCACGCCGGCCGCCTCGGCGTCGCGTCTCGTCAGCCCGACGGAGGCGACCTGAGGGTGGCCGGGGGAAGGGGACACGGACACGTGCTCTCCTCCGCGCGCGAGAGCCGGCCAAGTGTCTGGCTGCCGCAACTCCATGTCTTGAGACAGGAGCCCCAGAGCTTTCAGAGCGGCTGTGTGTTCATGTCTGCGGTGCGAGGCGACCTCGGGCTCGGTGTAGCAGCAGCGCGGCACCACGAGCGAGGAGACCTTCCAGCCGTCGCCTGATGAATCCTTCGTTCACAATCAGTCATGAGCCGCAGTTGAGCGAGGGGACCTTGCAGCCGTCGCCGAAGAGCGCGTTCTGCACGGCCAGCTTGGCCATCTCGCCAGACATGTGCGTGAAGCGAGGCACGCCCGCCGCGCAGTCGCCGACCGCGTACACGCGCGGGTTGGACGTGGCTCCGAGGTCGTCAATCGCGATGCCCTCCTTGCCGCAGTGCGCCACGCCCGCCGCGTCGAGGCCGAGCCCGTCGACGTTCGGCGTGCGGCCCGTCGCAACCAGCAGCGCCTCGCACTCCAGCTCCGCCGGGACGCCGCCGCCGCCGCCCAGCACGAGCTTGAGCAGAGGGAAGGCGCGCGGGTCGTCTGGCTGCTGCCGCAGCGTCTGCACCTACGGGACGGTTCCGAGACTCTTCAGAGAACGTTGCAAGTGCGCCTCGGCGGTCGCGGCCGCAGCGTCGGCACCTCCTTGACGTCCACGCCCGACACGAAGGCGACGCCGTCGGCCTCGAGCGCCTTGACGACCGCCTCTCGCGCCGCCGGCTCCTCCTTGGACAGGACCGCCGAGCGAGCGAGCACCGTCACTTGAGAGCCAAAGGCGGCGAAGGCCTGCGGCGGCACGGGGGCTCCGGCGCGGTCTGGGAGAGGCGGCGGGCGAGGAGAAGCTGCTCTCACCGAGATCAGCCGAGAGAGCTAGCCGCGACACGCCTAAGCGCCTCGCCTGCGCCATCTCCATCCCGATGACGCCCGCGCCGAGCACGACCATCCGCGGAGGGAGCGCAGTCAGGTTGTAGAGCGTCGCGTTGGTGACGTAAGGGGCGGCGGCGAGGCCGGGCGTGGGCGGCACCGCGGCGCGGCCTCCCGTCGCGATGACGCACTTCTTGAAGCGGAGCGTGCGCTCGTTGACCACCACCGTGTCGGGCCCGGAGAACCTTGCCCAGCCTTGGTACACGTGCGCGCCCGCCGCCGCAGAGCCCTCGTGCGAGTCGGCGGGCGCGATGTGGGCGCGCAGCCGGCGCATCCGCGCCATCACGGCGTCAAAATCGACCTCCAGCTTGGGCGCGGTACCGTCAGCGGCGACCAGGAACCCCTCGGCCAGCGCCGCCCTTGCCTCCCGCGCAGCCCGCGCGCAGTGGAGCAGCGCCTTGGACGGGACGCAGCCGACGTTGAGGCAGTCGCCGCCCGCGAGGTGGCCCGAGATGAGCGCAGAGCGCGCACCGCGCCGCGCCGCCTGCTTGGCCGTCACCAGCCCGCCCGCGCCCGAGCCGATTGCGATGATGTCGTACTCTCCGGCCGCTTCCGCCTCAGTCGGGCCCTCCCAGGCACGAGGACGGACGGCGTCGAGCAGCTTGACGTTGCTCTCGTCGAGCGGCCACACGTCGAGCGCGCGGGCCTCCTCAGGAGGGGCGTCAGACCACGAGGCAGGAGGGGCGTCAGACCACGAGGCAGGAGGGGCGTCAGACCACGAGGACGCCATCAAACTTGGACCAAGTCCTCGCTTCTTCTGGGAAACATCGCGCGGCTCCGGAAGAAATACTCCTTGCCCCATCCTGGTTTGGCGTAACGTTCACTTTGTTTGTTACTCTCGCTCTCACACACAAACACATGGTGTTACGTGTTGTTGCGGAGGAGCCGCATTTAAGTTGTTACGGAGGAGCCGCATGCATTAAGAGAGTTTGTTTGCTTTGTAGCATTAACCCCGAGAGCCTCGAGAGAACGGGAGAAATGGGAGACCTAAATAAATAAATAAATAAATAAAACGGGCACGCCAAACGAGGGGTGGGAGAAGGACAGGGTCCCCACCTGCGCGAGCAGGATCTTGTAAGGACGATCAGGGACACAGGGGAACGGGAGCGGGGAGCGCATCGCGACACGGAGGGGGGCTGGGCAGGGTTCACCCACACGACAGGGTCCCAGGGATTTTCCTCTCTCGTATAGGACAGGTTGCACCCGGCGGCACGGGGGCAGGCGCGGGCCTCCTACTGGTTGCGCTCTCCTAGTTCTCCTGCTCCTGACAAGGGACAGCGACGGGCTCGCAGCACGGTGGACTCCCTATTCCACTGGCGATATCTCTCGACTAGCGACCTTCCTCCGGCTTCTCACCAGCAGTCTCTCACTACCACGGGCACACTGACAGAGGCGGCCAAAAGGCTCACGTGGGTGGCAGGGCGGTGATAGGAGTCTCCCACTCTGTGGGCTTCGCTAGAGGTGCGGCCCCTGCGCGTGTCCTCGCCCTTGGGAAGGTCTTGGAGGGGGAAGGGGAAGGGGCTGTGTGTCTGTGCATGTGTATGGGAGACCTTAAAAAGAAAGAAACCCCGAAAAGATTTCTTTTTTGAGATCTTCGTTGATTACGGTAGATTACAAAGACGCCACGAAGCGCGAACCCCCGGGGACGCCACCCGTTCCCCACCCCACGAAACACGCAACGCAGTATGACGCTCCGCGGTCTCGAAGCAAGCGCGATCCACAAGAGGACGCATCGCCTTCGCCTCCAGCGCATCGGCCAAATGCTCCGGGGCGACCGCATGGCCCGCATTGGTGCTGCCTCCGATGTGCAGCGCCTATCACCGTCGGACCGCGCCCTCTTCACGGCACTGGCGCAGTGCGAGCTGAGGCGGGGCGCGCCGCTCATGCAGAAGCATTGGCTCCTCAACCTTGCGTCCGCAGTCCTCGCCACGGCGGTGTCAACCGACGATGACACTTCCAGCGGGCTGGAGGAGGACGTGTCCGAGGCGCCGTCCAGCCCTTCCACCCAGTCTCGGCAGGCGCTCAGCGACGACGAGGACGGTGCGGTGCCGCCATCAGTGGAGGGACGCAGCCACAGCATGCTCTGCGCCAGCAAGGTCCTGTGCGGCCTGCGCGGACACGCATTCGCACCCGCCACGCCTGCTCCGCCAACAACAGAAAACGCATCTGTGTACATCGGGGTATGAGTGCACCCCGTCCAAGCTACAGGGTACAAAGCTATAGGGTACAAAGCTACAGGGTATTTTTAAACTCGCCCCGATCGGAACCCACGACGCGCCAGACAGACGGCGTGTGACTAGCTCGAGCAGGGCGGCCACCAGCACCCCACCGACAGTCCGCGCGGGCCGCACAGCGGTGAGACGAGGCGCGACGGACGAGGAGATCACGCCCCCGCGCGCGGCGCGTCTCTCGGCCTCTCTCGGCACCTGACACTTCCAACACCTCGGTACACCGCTCCAAGCGATCTACACTTCACATCTCTTACACCCTCCCCTCAGTGCTCACAGAGCCGCACCTGCTGGTCCCTGCTATCGCGCCGCACCACTGGGGTTGCAGCGCAGCGCCTCAAATCCCTTCACCCTTGAGTCGCGGCCTACCACTTCAGCCACGGGATTGTCATTCCGTGCGCTGCCTGCACACTGCTCTGACGCTGTTCTGATGCTGCGAGCCGACGGGACGTCCGGCACTTGGAGCACTCTTGGAGTGCAGTCGGCAACCTCACACCCAGGGCCGGGGAGCTAAGAAGCGCACCCAGCGGACCGGATGCTCGGGGGCGGCCTCCGGGCCAGAGTATCGTTTTTCTTCTTCTCTCGCGGTGCCTGCGCGCCGAGCCGCAAGCGCAGGCGATGTTCGCGGGCTTGCAGATGGGCTCCGGCGGCGACGGCGAGGAGGGTTCCTCTTCGTTCGGCTTCCTCAACAAGCCGGCTGCGCAGGCGGAGCTCGCTGCGCCCGATGACGGCGAGGGCGGCTTTGAGGGATTCGGGGCGCCTGCCGAGGGCGGCAGCTCCTCATTCGCCTTTCTCAACGCGCCAGAGGCGCCCGCACCACCCGCGCCTCCGCCCGACCCGTTTGCGAGCTGCGGCCTTGGTGCCATCTCCGCCGCCTCGGCCATGCCCTCCGCCCCGTCGCTGCCCGCCGCGGCTGCTCCAGTGCCAGCCGCTCTACGCTGCTGTGGTATCCCGCCGGGCACGGCAGCGGCGGTGCCCTCCGGCCCAGCGGCGGCCGTGCGGGCAAAGAAGAAGACCGCCAAGGCGCGCCGCCCCGGCTGGGCCTCCAAGGAGGGCGAGGACCCCCCCGCAGCTCCGGTGGCCAGTGGAGCCTGCGCTGGAGGCTGCACTGTCGGCTCTTTGGCAGACGCGTCCTGCGGCGGGGGAGGCGGCGGCGGGGCGGAGGGTGCGGCGCTCGCCCACGTGTCGCCTTCGACGCACGCCTCTTCCCTGGGCGGGCTGGGCGCGCGAGGAGCAGGGCCGGGTGCCGCCGGCGCAGGCGGCCGGTACGGCCCACCGACGCCGGCCACCACTCCGCCAAATGGAGCTGCGGGCGAGGGATTCGGCGGGTTCGGCTCTCCGTCGCCGCCGCCGCCGGAGCGACCGCCACCGGGACCGCTCCGCTTCGACTGGGGCGGCGACCGGGGCGGCGACAGGAGTGGCGACCGTCCGGAGCTTCGCCACTCTGCCGCGAGCTCGCTCGGCTCCGGCTCGACTGACTCTGCGTGCCTACCGTACGGGGGATTGTCGGCGGCCGGAGGGGGGGGAGGGAGCAACGGCGGTGCGGGAGGCGGCGGAGGGGGCGTGCTCGGTGGGCTCGTCATCCGCTGCCAACCTGCGGGAGGCACGCCCGTGCCGGGCAGCGGCCGCGCCTCGCCGCACTCCGCCTCGAGCGGTGCTCCGTCTTAGATGCTCCGTCTTAGATAGTCGAGAAGACGCGCATTCGGCTGCGACCCATCGGGACCGTACTCCCACCGCCAGCCCTCTGTGTTCATACCCTCCCGTCGCCCCCTCGGTCGCCCCCTAGGCGCCTCCACCTCCGGAGGCTTCAGCGGCGGGCGGGGCGGCGCGCCGCCGCCGCCGTCGCGCGCGCTCTCCGGCCCTCTTCCGCCGGACCTCTTCTCGGGGGAAGCCTTCCCCGCCGCCGAGGCGGCGGGAGGGACGGCGCCGCCGCTGCGGCAGTCGCCGCCGATCCGGCGGGACGCCAAGGGCGTACCCGAGGGCGGCGGGGAGGCGCGTCGACGCGAGCCCTTCCCGCGCCCGCCCTCCGCGCGCCACGCCCTCCGCACTCTCCTCACCGCGCCTCGCCGTGCGCAGGCGCACCGCTGTCCGCGAGCCGAGCCCGCCGCCGGAGGGAGCCGCCACATCGCCGGCGCGGGCGGCGAGGGCAGCGGCGCCGGCGTCTACTCTGCGGGCGGGCAGATCGGCGCCGCGCTCACCTCCCTCTTTGGCGGGGGAGGAGGGCTCGGCTCCTCCCTCCTGAGCGGGCTCACGATCCGCGCGCCCCACGCCGCCGGACCCGACGGGGGGCCGCACGCCGCAGCGGAGGCGCCGCCGACGCCGACGTCGGGAGCGCCGCCACGGCCGACGGCGCGGCAGCAGCGGCCCCCTCTGCCGCCTGCGACGCCGAGCGGCAAGAGCGACGCCGCGACGCCGCTGGCGGGCGATTCCGCGCCCGCGCCGCCGCTCTCGGACAGCGGCGACGCCGCGTGCGCGCAAGCAGAGGCGGGCGCCGCCGCCGCCACGGCGGCCGCAGTGAGCGCGAGCGGCGGCGGCGGTTTGCTGCTCGAGCCGGAGACGGTGGAGGAGGCGCGCGCGCGGAAGGCTGCTGCCACGGCGGAGGCGAGGCGATCCGAGGCGGCCGGCGCGTTGGCCGTGCGGCGCGGCGCCGCTGCGGAGGCGGAGGGCGCGGCGCGTGCGTTGTGCGATGCGGAGCGCGACCAGCAGGCCCGCTCGGCAGAAGAGGACTACGAGGCCGCCGAGGCGCTGCAGCCCGCCGTCGAGGCGAGACGGGGCCGAGACCGAGGAGGGGGGGGGAACGCGCCGGGGTTCTCTCGCCGAGATGTGGTCGAGGGGGAGCGAGGTTGCATCCCCTCCCCGTCGCCGTCGCCCAAGAGGTGAGTGCCCCTCCTCCTCCTGCTCGATCAGGCGGCGCGGTCGCGGCTCGCCGCCGCCGAGGCCGCGGTCAACGCTGCGGATAGCAGGCTCCAGACGTGCAGCGAGGCGCTCGCCGCCGCGAGCGAGACAGCCGCGGGCGCGGCGAAGGCCGCGGTGGCCAAGGCTCGCGCGCAGCGCGACGCTCAAGTCTCGGAGCAGCGCGCCGAGGAGGCGGCGGCGGCGGCGCGCTGCGCGGCAGAGGCGGAGCGGCAGGCCGTGGAGCGGCAGAGGCTGCGGAGCGAGGCGCGCCGGCTGCGCGTCGACGAGCGGGAGGCCCGCGCGGGGTCGGAGGCGCTCGAGGCGCAGACAGCGGAGGCGGCCGTCGACCACGCCGTGCACTTGTCCATTGACACGTCCGTGCCGTGCGGCACAGGCTCAGGTTGCAGAGGCGGCGGCCGCCGACGTCGCCGCGCGGGACGAGTCGCTCGGGCGGCGGGGGGCGCACGAGGAGCGGGCGGCGGAGCTGCGCGCGCTGCTCGAGGCGGAGGAGGCGGCGGTGCGGGCGTGCGACGCCGAGGTTGCCGCCGCCGAGGAGCGGATCGAGGCGGTGCGCGGCGGCTTCTCCAAGCCCACGGCGCAGCTGCCTAGATACCTCGATGTGATGACGCACCCCTGCCGGTCTGACTCGGATGGCGGCGTGCAGCTTGGAGGCGCTGTGCGCTCGCTTGATCGCCGCCCCGCTCTACCCCTCCCTAGACGGCACTCCCAGGGGGAGAGGGTTTCCCACGGGGAGAGGTATCCCAGGGGGAGGCCCTCACGCCTCTTGTCTCCTCCCCACGCAGGCGCGGCTCGAGCTCCGCCGCGAGACAATCTCGCACGCAGCGTCGCGGGTCGCCACCGAGAAGGAGCAGCTGCGAGAGCGGGCGGGTGCGCTGCGTGC